AATATTATTTTTGTACGATTTTTTTTTGGGGAGGGGGGGGAGAGGGGAATAGGAAGAATTTTGCGTGTTCCTGTCGTGCGTTTGTTTATAAATTTCAGTTAAATATAAATTTGCTCCTGTCGTCGTTTGACCTTTTCATATATGCATCGTCTGAATAGTAACCCTGCCAATTTTTTTAATTTTTATTTATTTTTATCGTACAAACAACAAACAAGTTTTTGTTTGTTTGTTTGTTGTCAAAAATAAAAAGAGAGAGAGAGATTTACCTTTAATTTTTTTTTTACGGTTAAAAAATTTTTTGTAATGATTTTTTTTTCTCATCTCCCTCTCTCTCTCTCTCTGACTATTTATCCATCTTTCTCTTTATTTATTTATTTATTTATTAAGTATTATTATTATTATTATTATTATTATTATTATTATTATTATTATTATTATTATTATTATTATTATTATTATTATTATTATTATTATTATTATTATTATTATTTATTTAGCACCTTATTAATATCGACACAAATTAAATGAAGGTGATTGGAAAACGAGGTTTTTCCCAATACAAAATGTCGACAAATTAATAAATAAATAAAATTTAAAATTTAATAAATATATAAAGATTATTAAAATAATAATATATAAAGAAAAAATTTTTTTAAATTATTATTATTATTATTATTATTATTATTATTATTATTATTGCAGTAGGTTGTTGTGCGTTTAACAAAAAAAAATAAGAAACTTTCAAGGGCGCCCCAATTTATTGATTTTCACACGGGCTTTTTTTTTAAAAACGTTTATATATATATTAAATTTCATTTAAGATTTTCATGTGTTTAAATACCAAAAAAACAAAAATTCGGTTGTTGTTGTCGTTGGCGTTGTTGTTGTTTGTTGTTGTTTTCTGATACGTTCGATAAAATTTCGATAAATTTTTATTTAAAAAAAAAAATAAATAATTGCTTAAGGTTTTACTTTTTTTTAATCGTCGAAATCGTTCAGGCTCCAATTCTGAACATTAGAAAAAAAAAAAAAATTCTTTAAATCATGAATGAATTCTCGAGTATTCGATTAAATAATAATAATAATAATAATAATAATAATAATAATATAATATAATAGTAATAGTAATAATA